TCCTTGTCACTGTAATGTCGGATGGCACTGAACTGCTACGTGACATCGTAGTTTACGAGAATGTGCTTATTTTTGGTTTTGTAGGTACTTAGCGACGTGTTAGCTGGCAAAAAATTCGTTTGCTTAGTTTTTGCTGAGATTTCAGCTCGTTTGCTTTTTCCTGTATCGAAATATTATCTTTCCAACTTAAATTTACGATACATAAAGTAATTCAATAATAGCATCGATTTTGTACTCGATATTAAATCACGGATCTTTTAAAACCATCTAAAAAAATTCTTAACAAAATGCTCCAAAAATTGTTACACAATATTAAAAATGGTACGCCAATAAAAGGGTCGTTATTGAAAGAATTTATAATCGCCCTCCAGATCTCGATGAAATGTCAGAATTGTAAAAGAAAATAAAAGGAGAGGGAAAATTTAGACTAATTAATAGACACCTCGACATTTTTGTTAGTAAAATTTGGTTTAATTAGTCTGGCAACCTTTTTGGTTTCTCTTACAGGAAACCATTAAATTCTTTTAAGCGGAATAATTTTGACTACCCACTCAACCCTGCTTTGTTACAAACAAATGATTCGTGTATTCTAGGAAATATCAGTCTCATCACAAATTAGTTTTACATAGAAGGAGCCTTAACCGAAATAGAACCTAAATTATAAAAGAATAAGTATCATGTTACCTAATGTGATTAATCTGGAAAATTAGCACTGTGCTATCTTCCGATTACCCAGTAATAGATACCGATTAGGTAGATAATATGGTGCCAGGTTAGTATAAGGTATGTTCGCTAAAGATGGCCCGCTTTCTGAGACGGGCCACTTAAAAATATGCAGTTATGATTACTTTTTTCGATATCTTGATTGTCTAATAAATACATTACAACCTCCAGTAAGTTACTTATCTACTTTATTTATCTACAAGATTATACAAGGTATGAAATAAGGTGGGCCTTATTAGGCGACTGTACCTTATACGCTATATTAATATCATAATAATAAGCACATGGTTTCGGAAAACACCAGACGTAATTTAACTTCATACAATCCAACATAATACAAACCTCACATCGTGGTCATAGGTAGGTACCTAATAATTCCAAAAAACAAACAAACGAAAAGAACTACCCAATTCATACTAATTAATGTTTAAAAGCTCTTGGATGTTCCATCTTCACACGGCTTTTATTTTTACTCTGTGAAACGTCTCTTTGTGGTATCCGATCCGTAAACACGATTCTCTTTGTACTCACTTTTAATTCTAACACCAGATGGGTTCTCCATTGAATTGGAATCTATTTTCGTATTATTTACTTCCTTTTTTCAATTATTAGTTTTGTGTTCTTTAACGAGAGTATGAGTACGGTAATTGACAACGAGTCAAATTAAATACGTTTATCGAAACGTCAAAAACGTTATTGTTCTATGAATTTTATACGAAAAACTAACTTATGTCGTCATGATATTTTCAAATCAAAAAGCACACTCATTTCTGAAAAGTGCTAGAATAGTTCGAAAATAAAATATTTAGTAAAACCAATTTAATGAAAGTCTAATTTAATTGGATTGAAAAATTAAAATAGTTTAATCTATCCAATCGAGGTGGTAAAATTTAAATTTCTAATAATAATTATGAGTAAAATGTAAGTTAATTTGTTAATTACTCTGCTTTTTCACGGCGTAGTGCATTATTTACTTAAGAAAGAACATTGTATACTAAAAAGAAAAGGCTATAATATAAAACTATTCCTAACTTGATATATTAAATAAAATACGCTGAAATACTCAAACGCCACTAAATTTTAGATCGTGCTCAAGGATAATTCTATCTCTGCCGATTCTTTGTAAAATGACAGAGACGGCACGATATTTAAAAACAAATTAAAACTGACTGCACGGTCGGCGCGGTGGTTGGGCAACTGACTGGCGCTCAACGTGTCGCGGGTTCGATTTCCGCACGGAACAACTCTTTCTGTTATCCACAGATTGTTGTTTCGGGTCTGGGTGTTATGTGTATGTGAGCTTGTATGTTTGTAAACGCACCTACGATACAGGAGATAATCCTAGTTACTATTAATGAATCAATTGATTATTATTATTTTTAAATGTTGCCCAAATTAAAAATAAACTGAGCAGCATTTCAGTATTCGAGCGATAGAAGCTTCATTTAATAGAATCAAAGTGCAATCGCTAAAGCGCCTGGAAACTACCAACCAAACAAACGCCACTAACAAATTCAATAGAAACAAACAACAAACTCAAGACAGCAGAAATGCAGATAAAGCTAAGAAATGCAGTGATCAGGTAATACAACATGACTGCACTAGTCCTTGAGCTACTACACAAGGTGCAAGAATCAGCGAAGCGAAATGGGTCAGAGAAGTGTCGACGATGACACTATATCTGGATAAAACCAGTACACAGCGTATGCGGTAAGTACCATACTATACACATAAAGGTCTACAGAGCTAGTTTATCACGGTCTCTCTTTCTATCATCATTGTGCACATTCAACGGTCAGTTTATACTGGTTTTTATAGATCGATGTGTCGTGTGTACGATAGTGGTGCGTCTTTATTCTCGGGAGGCAACGCGTGCCGCATGTTGGTTGTGGTTGGCAGAGCGATTTTTTTATCCTACATCTATTCGGCATTGCTCTTAAATTTATTGAGACTGTATTTTGTTCCGAAAAGCTTTTTATACAACTGCAATGCAGTCTGTAAATTCGATTCGGGAAAATGCTTTGACAGTATTGTATTTTTTTTTGCGTAGTTCATAAATAACGCTAATTAGCCACATGCTTTGACCAATTAAGCAATGAAATAAATTAAACTCTCCATTAAAACTTACTTCGGTCAAACTTTTTCGGACTACCCAAAAATACTGTGTGAAATGCGAGAAAGTCCCCGGGGTAATTGCGCTATAATAAAAAAATAACTTTTCCACAACATAAAGTCGGAATTTTATTGCGGAAATCTTAATTTTCCTAATAATTAATCTCAGATTGTGGGAACCCTTGCAAAAATGGCATTTCGTTACGAAGAAATGTTTAAAGTAAAAAAATGTTGTAAGCACTGCCCTACCTGTTACATAATTTACAACAAAATGAACCTGGACTTCTTTTAATTTGTTCCTTTTTACACTTCCCCCACTCATTATGAATAAAACATTCAAAGGGTTGTGATTGTTTCATAAACATTTACATTTTTGGAGATGTTTTCCGAACAATTAAGTTCTTTGCTCGCGACAAACAAACCATCAAAAAGCTTCAAAAGGATTTGTTCAAATCAAATACATGTCCTTTTGAAGTCAGCCATTCGAAGAAATTACTCAAAGAGATAGTTTTACGATTGGGGAAGAGAAAAAAGTGAGCGACATGGATGGACATTAATGTGTTTGGAATGTATGGGCCCATGCCATGCGGCCCATCAAAACGTTTTACGACGTACATGGCCAATAGTAGAAACTGCCCCCAACGACTGATTTATAGTGTTTCCGTTGAAAAACATAAAGAATACAGCTGCAGACATATTTAGCGGTTAATGGGACGTTCGACTTTTATAATGTTGCCTTAAACAATTTAATGTTGTTTCCTGGGGGCCTATTAAATGGTCTAGCTTTACACCAATCATGTGTTTAAGAACACTTAAAATTAATTAACAGATGTTGATTTATTGTTCAAAAAAGTTTACTTTCTATATAGTGTGTAGTTTTTACTTTTGTTTTTGACGATATTAATGTGTATAGTGTGTATATTATTAACCAGAGTCTTGATGATTGTCAACCGCACTCATAAAAGTTAGAAAAACGAGATTGATAAAAGGAAGACTAAAAACACACTTTAGGTTTTTGATGAACAACTTTTTTTTAAAGCCAGGAATACACAAGAGGACAATTGTCCTGCAAAACGTGTCGCTAGCGACGTCGGGTGAAGTAGCGCGACATTGCTGGACTTTGGTCGATATGTTTGGCAATAAATATCGCGACACAGGTCTCCTCCTTGCGTGTTGTCGCCATATGTATGTCAGGCGAAGTCGGCTAGCTTCGCTTGACCAGTCGCCGATACATGTCGTGAGACATTTCTCCTCTAGTGTATCCGGCTTAATATCATACGAATATTTTATTTGAAGCCATTTAATTACAATATATAATAACAGATTTCAATGATATTTTCGTGACTGTGTACGTAACAAAAATATCATTCGTTACTTTAAAATAGTGAGTCCTATCGTCCAACGCAGGCTACATCATAACATTTTATAGCATACCTATTAAAAACTGTTACAATACCTGCTATATGGGACATCCGATCTGATATTTTATTTTTATGAACTAAAATCAATAAAAAAAGTATTTATTTTTATGGGTTTTGTGTTGTATTTTTTAGTATAACGACTAAATATGTGTATTGAGGTTAGTGTTATTTTTTAACCCTTTGAGTACCGTCATTATAGACACAATTAAAGAACAATAGGATGCGGTCACCGGTGTCCTCGCGGTGTTTGACAGTTTAAATTGATAAAAATTAAGTATAACTAGGTAAAACAGTGAATAAAAATAAAAAAAGATACCATTAGTAACTCGTAAATTCGTCCGCATCACTGTCTCAATAGTGTATGTGAATCGTAAAAGTTGAAATTAAGTTAAAAAATGAACTCTGCATATAAATATTTAAAGTTCGATTTTGTTCACCTTTTCATTTAAACTAACATAGATAAAGATTTTTGAAACATTTTTATTGGTGGGAATATCATAGTTTTTAGTTACCTATTTGTATTTTAAGTTGTATAATATATTTATTTATAATTAAGTTATTTAAGTTTATTATTTGTAAATAAAAGGAGTATTATTTATATTCCTTTATTATATTCAAGCTACATATAAAACATGTAGCTTATTTCTATGCCTAAAAGGGATCTTATAGTGAAAGGTTAGCTTAAACTATGTAAGTACTTAATAAACTTAAGGACTTGCTTTCAAATGTCCTGTTTTGGCTTACCTCCGCCTTTGTCCCTATCCCTTCCCATCCCTTACAGAACCTCGTACATGTGTACTCTTGACCTCAAAGCTATTTAGATCGGTGGAGGAAACGAGCTGTGAATAATCTTTGCGAAATAGAAAGCTAGTATTTTATAGTCTAAAGATTTTGAATGAAGTAATAGAATAACATCACGCCTTTTACTCCCGATGGGGTGGGCAGAGATGCATATTACGGCACTTAATACCACTGTAATGTAACACCCACTTTCCACTATTTATGTTGTAAGTCCCTAAGAGCCCTGCCTATACAGCCTATACAGGGCACAATTCTAGATTCCGTGCTACTAGGTACTGAGATTTAAAAAAAAAGCATATTAGAACTTTGCCCGACCCGGGAATCGAAACCGAGATCCCTTGCCCGGCAGTAGCACTTGCGACCACTCGGCCAACGAGGCAGTAATTATAAATTTATTGATTATTCAAATTTATCGAAAAATACATTGTTGAAATCGCCGTTTTATATTGTAGATATTGTGCGGAACACAAAATAACTACCATGTTATATAATATGATAAAGTTGCGCACACATTATATAATATTGATATTTTTATTCAAAGTAAATTCTATGATAATGACCCTGAGTAGCGCCAGACAAAAAAAACAGTCAACATTAATAAAATATCATTATGCACTTATGCATATATCTTTCCACGTAAAATCCAGTTCACAATAAAACCATTGGGAAAAAATAAATTTAATAGGTACGTCTCATTACGTCTACAGTTCATCTATTGAATTTTTCCATTACCTTTTGTTTCGGTGAGCAAAAAACCTCAGTGTCGTATTTTTCAGAGTTAATAATAGATATTTCAATTTGTCATAATTGCAGACTGGGGTTACTTTACCTCGTGTAGTTCGCCCTCAATAATTCAAACGTCTGGGACATTTTTTCACTATACCATTTTGTGAATTTTAAAATATATTTTAAAACTGAACAAAAATTATAATGCGTGGTATGTTATTTCCAAAATTCAGTTCGTGTAAAACATTTTTGCGATTCCGGCAAAATAGTTGAGTGCAAATTAAATTCCCAATGTCGATAGATATAAAATATGGAATCAAATTAATAATAGCAGAATTTTGATAAAGGAATGTGATTATTTTCAGTAGATATAAATACTGAATCAAATTACATCTCTGTGATATTTCAAATACAGTCAAATAATGAAGAAGCGTTCATAGTTTTATAAAACTAGATTACAAATCGCCAATCAATAATATCTTGCATTAAATCAGATAACATTTTATTACTATTAATCGGTAATAAGTCGTGGTAGCTCGGACGTTGAGACGCCCGCTTCTCATGCATGAGGCTGCAGGTTCAATACCTACCAAAAGCAAGTACTAATGTGACTTTTTCTGAGTTATATATACTTTCTAATATTATTTAGACACCACTGACAAACGGTGAATGAAGAAAGCGTGGAGAATAAAATCTCTTCAGCAATGGGTACTTATAGGCTGTTGATGATGATGATGATAATGAAATGTAGTGAAATATAGTGCAGTAATAATGCAGTGAAACATCAGCACAGTAAAAAATTTAATATAGGTGTATTAGGTTCTTTATGTAGACAGAATGAGATCTGCAAAGATAATCATATTTTTCTAGTTAGAGACTGATTTATTTAACCTTCATAATATACGACCTTACCTTGCATTATCAGGGTCAAAATCATACAGATATTTATAAAGCATTTCATGAATAGTTCTCATTATTTCTACATTCACCTTCCAAAGAAAATATTCAGGATTTTCTTTGACATATTTTCGTATTTTGGTATTTGCTTGGCAAGGGTCATATTTACCAATCGATTAAGGCTTTCTTGTTTGTCAAAGGGTACTTTAATAGCAGTTGATTGTTATAACATTGATATTTTTGTATTAATTTTTATTTCACCAACAATAGCTTAACCATATCATTTATCTAACCTTATCGTTATATTACAGGTAAAATCGATTTTTCACTATTTATAAGTACAAACGGTAATAGACTGATTTCTGTACCATTGATTGCTAAAAATTATTACGTCATTATAAATAAATATTTCTTTCATCAAATTAATGAATTGGTTCAATAATATAATATATTTTTTGAAATAAATAACACATTGTTTTATAAAATACATACAAAAATATTTATTTTGGTTAACTTAACGGTTTTCATTTTGTAAATGGAAGTTGTATTGAAATTGTGCTGTGGTTCAATTGTCGGATTCAATCGTTTGTTTTATAAATCCGTTTTTACCGTAAATAGGTCGGCTGAACGGCTTTATTTTTATAATGCAATAATATAAAACCAATAACCATTATTTTTCGTAAGCTGACTGTATTTTAGTTATAAAGTACTGAATTCTTAATTAAACTAATAGAATAGTCTATATTTTTTTAGAATTCAACTCATACTTAGTACATTTGACTATTGCACTAAAGAAATAGTAAAACATTGATAAATAATATACGATTACAGATGTTCATAAAATTGGCGATCATGATAGGAACTTTTGTTAGGAGAGATAATATTTTGGCGGTATATGTCACGCGTCAAACGACAGTTCTCACAAATAGACTATCGATGAAACAAATCAACAGATGACGTTACAAAATCCTACATCGCACATGTGAAGTTTACATGCGAATTAACACCGATAGAAAAACTCAACGAACAATTGTTGGGCAGAAAGCTGATCACATTGCCTGGTCGTAGGTTCCTCCTTTTCCGATCTTTCTGTTCCCTAAAATATTAAAAAACCTGTCAAGGACAGCTGTTTTAAGACTTTCATTACAAACGTTTAATTGTAAGCAAAATTTAACAATAAAAGCCTTTATTGAACTATGAAAAAAAAACGCACTAAGAGAGAAATCTAAAATCAGCTAACTTTGCTAATTGCCGCCAACCCAGTGCGTATACCGTCGAAGAAAACTTAGTACAATTACGTTTCTCCAACTAAGTTACCTTAGTTGCTTGTGTATATTGTGCTCGAAACACAAATGGGTATTGTTGAAATCAACTTAGAAACTTGGGAAGCCAATGACGTCCTGAACTCTAAGTATTCGGCTGTCAGGGATTTGGAGTGGAGACAAATGAAGGAGAAAATGGGAAAGTAGATTAAAAAGTATGGAGACGGACGAACTAACTGATTAATAATGTCTCTTAGGTTCGAGAAGGTAAGTATAGAAGTGTTCATAATGTTAAGTGTGGCGTCTAATTTGGTTAAGTTTTTTTTTATTATCATAAATGACTACCTCATTGACCGAGTGTTCACAAGTGCGACGGCAAGGGGTCTCGGGGTTTCGATTCGCAGGTCGGGCAAGTATTACTGGGTTTAAAAAGAAATCTCAGTAGTAGTAGAACCACTGAGTCTGGAAATGTGCCCGTTATATGGCAATAGGCTCACCCCCTATTACATGGGGTTCATAATATAAAATAGTGAAAAGTGGGTATTACATTGTACAGTGGCATTAATTGTCGCGGAGAACCTAACGGATAACCGGGGCTCCGGCTCGACGTGCAGGAGAAGGAACGGTGTGGTTTTTAGTCAGTAAGAGTCTGACACTCCCTTCTGCCTCACCCAGGCGGGAGCAGTCATTCGATAATTTTCCCCCCTTAAAAAACCCCTTCGGAGATAAAAGGTATACATACATAAAATGATGTGTGTATGATAATCATATAGAATTTTAAATGTTCTACTAACATCACGTAACATATTTTTGTAGTTTTGTATAATTTTCTAATCGTCTTACTTGATTCAAACACGAAAGATAATTCAGGAGGTTGACCTCAAAACAAAACTAATAAACGAACACTTTCTATGTCCAACATAACTTTAGATCTCTATTATCAACTGTCAAAACATTAGAAAATATTCCTTTCTTTCGCAGTAACAAAGAAAACGCTTCAAAGAACACATTTGCGTGTAAGGAGTAACATTTCGCGACCTAGTTGGGACTTAGTCTCGAATTCTCGACCTGCACTGTGAGCTGTGACCGTGTCCACAAAGTTCGAACCATGCATGCAATGCAAGAACTTCTAACCAGAACTACAAAAATTTGTTCGAATTTGCATAATTTATTTGCATTTGACACAATTTGCATAATGAGAACCGATATAATGTTTGAAATACCTCTATGATGTAATTATACAAATTGTTTTCAAAATTTATAAATATTTTCTGTATTTCATTCGTCGCTAATTAAAATGATATCGTGGTGGCGGGCGTCTTAAACCTGCGTTTAAGACGCCCGCTTCTCATGCATAAGGGTGTGGACTTGTAACCTACCAACAGCAAGTACTAATGTGACTTTTTTCGAGTTATATGTACGTTCTAAGATTATTTAGACACCACTGACAAATGGTGAAGGAAAACATCGTAAGGAAATCTAAGCTTATAATGTCTAATTATACGTTTAAATCGCCAACCCACATTGAGCAAGCGTGGGGATTAATGCCCAAACCGTGTGAGAGTCCTTTGGTCAGCAGCAGCTACTTATGGGCTGTTGATGATGATGATGATGTAATTAAAATATTTGTGGTTCCGACAGTAAAAAGTATTGGAATCTTAAATAACGTTATTAGACGTTCTAATAGTCTTCTTAAATAGTACAGTTTTCCACATAAAAGCATAAATCAAAAATATTTTAACGTCTTATGTATTTTCTCATAAAGTACTAAGCTGTTTAGGACGCTAAGTATGATTTGTTTGCATACGAAATAGTTTTTATAAAATTCAATTGAGAACATAATTTTCTTATCATACGTGACTTCTTTCAGTTGATTTTTCGCATTCATGTTCTAACGGGACTTGTACTTGTATATGTGCAAATCCATTTCATTGATTGAATAGAGATTTCTTTTGGAAATTCTATACTTATATGTTTTTATTGTGAGTGGCAACAATATTCAATCTTAACAGATTTTAAAGTATTTTTTTATTATTTGAGAAAACGTTGCCCAACACTAGGATTTTCTGCTGGGTGCGTTTACAAA